CCAAATCAGAAAAGACAAGATGTCAAATGAAGGTTTTGTCCCAAAAGGCGTGTCCTGGGAATTGGGAATAACAGATACCGTTTCCCTGTCATTCTATATAATAGTTCTATAATTATTATTATTTTCTAATTAAAGTTAATAGTTTATGTATTCTTTGCTGGAAGTTTCTGAGGTGTTGGGTTGGGAAATACTTGGAGATTTTGGAGGTGGAGTCTGAGGGGGCGGGGTTTGCAGTGGGAGGGACTTCAATTTCTTTTCAGGTAGAGAAGAATATAGAATTATAGAAACTGAGAGTAAAGGACAGAAATTAGAAGACTGAATGGGTAATAACCAGGGCTATTTTTGGGCAGGAACGCACAGGAACGGAGTTCTGGCTGGCTCCCGAGTTGGCCACGCATAACAGGTCACACCCAACAGCAGAAACTCATTAGGATTGGCTACATTAGGGGTGTGTGGCCTAACATGCAAAGGGGTTCCCACTCCAAAAAAAGCCCTGGGTTTTGACAACAAACAAGGTAAACAGAATAAGACGCAAAAGGTGGGTGTGGCTGGATGACCAGACTTCTGGTAACATGGGGGTGTGGCCTAAAATGCTAATGAGATATGCTGTCAGGGGTGTGGCCTAATATGCTAATGAGTTCCTGCTGGGCTTTTTCTACAAAAAAGCCCTGGTAATAACTAATGAATAACTAATGCATAATCCAATGAAGACGTATTCATGGTTAGAACGTGAATCTGAGGAAGTTGTATGGTGGGGTTTTTTGTGCGGGTAGGATATGGGAATAAGAACAGGATTTTGTTTGGATGGTGAAGTGGAGTGTAAAGGTATATCGTATGAAATGGTTGGACTGGATGTGTACTCAAAGCATTTAGATTGTGATTGTATAATTGATGACTGTTTTATTTGAAAACCAATCCAAAAGAATTAAAAAAAAATAGGACACAATGCCATGGAGTCCACCCGTCAAAGCAGCCGTTTTCTCCAGGGGAACTGATCTTGGTCATCTGGACCAACCTGGAGGTTGGCAACTCCACCAAGGTGGCTCACGTAAGACTGAATCGGTAGTAATGAAAACGATCGGTTTTAAAAACCGTCAGTGAAAAAGATGAGCGCTTGAAGCGAAAAACAACCAACATAGCAAAATCTATGACGCTGGCTTTCAGCAATAGTCACCACCATTCCAGGGACGCGGTGCCACTGCTGAGAAGGCCACGGCTCTGGTAATAACCATGCAGGCTCTTTTTGTAGCAGGGACTCCTTTGCATATTAGGCGACACACCCCTAATGGAGCCAATCCTCCAAGAGCTTACAGAGCTCTTCTTACAGGGGCTACTGTAAGCTCTTGGAGGATTGGCTACTTTAGGGGGGGTGTCGCCTAATATGCAAAGGAGCTCCTGCTACAAAAAGAGCCCCATGCCCCTAACTTCTGAAGCTGGGGAACTTAATAGACAGGCCGGTTCATATGGAAGAAAATGGTCCTATATGCGGGCTGGTCCCAAACAGGTAGAGGTAATAATAATACGTAACAACATTTAACAATAAAGCTTATTATAATACTCAGTGTTCAGATCTTCTGAGCATTTCAAGAACTTCAGGTACTTTAGCGAACAGCGGTGTTTTCCCTTGATGTATTTGAAATAAAGCGAGAAAAAGTTTTGTCTCTCTGGAGCACATTTTAAGAACTTTCTAAAAGTAAACAAAAAAGAAAAGATGTCGGAGCTGGGCAAAAACGAGCGGAGGAGGAGGGAGGGACTTCCGTCAGGGCGTTTGCTTGTGTGTGAGAGCCGGCTGTTTAGTGTTTTGGACTGCTTATGGTTGTGAATCCGACGGGAGTTTTGTAAAACGGAAAAGTTTGAACTGTGACAGCGAGGAGTGCCTGGCAAGCGCTTATATACGTCAACAGTTTCAAGGAGGACCCAATAGAGAGTTTGGGAGCGGAAATAAAAGCGAAATTAAATTAATACCATTCTCAAAGCTGGGGACCTCCAAGGCATGAAAGGAAGAGGATTTATAATGCATGAACTGAGTGTGTTAACAGCAACCCGAAGGAGAATTTAACAAGCCGGAAGTAGAAGGCAACAGAGGAAACCCCTCCTTGTCAGCGAGGTCTTGCTTCCTTTGCATCTGTTTCTCTTGGTCAGAGCCATCACAGAATCGTAGAGTTGGAGGGGGCGTAGAGACCATCTAGCCCAACCCCCTGCCCAGTGCGAGACCAGCCTAGAGCATCCCTGAAAAATATCCGCCCAGCCTCTTCTTGAAAGCTGCCAGGGAAGGGGAGCTGACCACCTCCCCAGGCAGCTGATTCCACCTTTGAACCACTCTGACCGTGAAAAAGTGTTTCCTCATATCTAGCCGATACCTTCCTGTGTGTAATTTAAACCCGTTGCTTCGGGTCCTCTCCTCTGCCGCCAACTGGAACAGCTCCTTGCCCTCCTCCAAATGACAGCCTTCCAGTTATTTAAAGAGAGCAATCATGCCCCCCCCCCTCAGTCTCCTCTTCTCCAAACTCAACATCCCCAAGAACGTCTTCTATGCCCTCAAAATAACCACAAGCTGCGTTGGTTTGTTTATGCAAATATTGATATGCCCCCTTTCCACGTGGTCCAAAGCTGCTTATCATGTTCCCGCACAAGCTCTGCTCGTTGAAAAGGGGCTTTCGCGGGAGAATATCCCACTGGATTTCGCACCGTCAGTTCTTCGCGCCATCAATTCTTTCCCCGCTTCTTCAGGCTCTAACCCAGCCAGGGCTATTTTCGAACTAAAAACCCTGACCATTAGATTTATCTCCTTACATGCATCTTTATTCTTCCACTGCGGATCCTTATGTCTCAGCGCCTGCTGCCCCGCGGCCCCCTTTTAAAACCGGCCGTAAAACCAGGCCAGCGTGACAAACAGCAGAAAGCTAGCTTAGGAGTCACTTTCTTCAGTACAGTTAATTAAATTCCATGCACAGTTTATGGATGCATGCCATTAAAAAAAAATGCTCTACATAGCGTTGTAGAGAGGAGATGGTGAACAACCGGGCTCTTTTTGTAGAAAAAGCCCAGCAGGAACTCATTAGCATAATAGGCCACACCCAACAGCAGGAACTCATTAGCATATTGGGCCACACCCCTGACACCACAGCTCATTAGCACATTAGGCCGCACCCCCTGTTACCAGAAGTGTGGTCATCCAGCCACACCCACCTTTTGCTTCTTATTCTACCTTGTTTGTTGTCAAAACTCAGGGCCTTTTTTTGTAGCAGGAACTCCTTTGCATGTTAGGCCACACACCCCTAATGTAGCCAATCCTAATGAGTTTCTGCTGTTGGGTGTGGCCTATTATGCTAATGAGTTCCTGCTGGGCGTGGCCAACTCAGGAGCCAGCCGGAACTCCGTTCCTGTGCGTTCCTGCCCCCAAATAGCCCTGCCTAAGCCCATTATTTTGTTGTTTTTTGGGTGGTGAGTATTTGTGTGTGTTTGTGTGTGTGTGTGCTTGCATGCCTAGAAATCATGGTGACCTTCCGGCAACCCCTAGTGGGGTTGGAAGTTTCAGAGAGGTGGCTTGCTTTTGCCTGCCTCTGTGTCCCAGCCCTGGTATTCCTTGGAGGTTCTCCCATCCAAGTACTTGCCAGGGTCGGCCCTGCTGAGCTTCCAAGATCTGACGAGATCGGGCTTGCCTGCCCTATCCAAGACAGAGCATTATTTCGTTGGTTTTGATTATCTCATTCAATGTTCCTGTTCCGGTTATTGTGTTGTTGTTTTTTTAATTGGTTCTGGAAAAGAGACGACATCTTCCCTCACAACATACCTCTCAGGTCGGTACTCTTCTGGTTCCGGCCAATATTCCGGGATGAGGTGCAGAACGGAAGCTGGGATCACGATCACCGTTCCTTCTGGAATAACCACTCCGTTAATCTCTATGGTTTTTTTGCAAACCCTCTCGATCCGTCCTCCTGGCGGGTACAGCCGGAGGGTTTCATTCACCACCATGTCGAGATACTCCATCTGAAGGACTGCATCGTAGGTGGGAGGAGCCTGTGAAGATGTAAAATATCTCAAAATGTGTGGCAGACAATCCCACGATACCTAGGTTTCCCAAGCGGGCTGTGAATCGCTGAATAACCGCTTTGCCGTAAGGAGTGTAACGAGCCCTTGTGGGAGTGTGATAAGGCATGCAAAATATGTAAACCGTGTGGTTCCATAAGAATATATTGGCTCTGAAGAAGCAGAATCGAAACTCACTTGGCCGACAAGAGACGTCAGCCTCGGCCGACAAGAAAGAACCGCCCAAGGAAACAGTGCCGTCGCATCTGATCGAGTTGGGGCACATCAAATTGTGATGGTGCTAATAGCCACGCTTCCCTCCCGCATTATCCAGCCCATGTGACACGGACCTTGGTTGTTCTAGACTCAGAGAGACTTCAACTCAAATCATCACGTAGCCATGAAGCTCGTTGGGGTATTTTCCCTCTCAGCCTGTCCTACCTCAAAGGGTTGTTGTGGAAATACAATGTAGGGGGGAAGAACCTGGGTTGGCCAACCCACACTCCTGGCAGAGCAAGAATGCAGTAGGCATCTGTCAGGATCCTAGGAGTCTCCGTTTTTTTTTTTTTTTAAAAAGCAATGGTCTAGTCTTCTTGGAGACCAGCATATTCTGATCAGTGTTACAAACTGCGAGTAACCGCTGGCTTTCCTGTTTACCAAAGCCTATTTAGAAGATATTCTTAAGAATGATGCCAAGCAATCCGATGACAGAATGTTGTATCGTTTACTGGCTTCACCAAACATAGCGGTTATTGAAGCGGTTGCTAAGTTTTGAAACTGCCTTATAATGAGGAAGATGTGTGTTAAACCCGTGAACTGAATGGTGCACTTAACCACTACACCAAACTGGCGATTGCTAAACTTTCAAGACCTTAGAATCGATATCCCCTGCTTTCTCACAATTGTACGCTTTCAGCGCCCGCCATTTCCCACCTCTGAAAATAAAGCAGATCCGTAAAGCGTATGACTGCCTCAGTGTTCCCTCTAAGCTGAGTTTGTGTGAGCTAGCTCACAGTTTTTTCGCCTCCGGCTCACAGATTTCCGCCTTCGCTCAGGCACGAAGGCTCCAGAGCAAACTAATTTATGCAGGAGCCCAATCGCTTGTGCACAACTTTAATGCCGGTAGCTGACAAAGTGGAATTTTTGCTGACATTGTTCCTCTTCCTGTGAATTTCTTCCTTTGACCCATTGTTAATTCACATGAGACACTGGTGGCATAAATTGATACTAGGGTTGCCAAGTCCTCCATGGACAGCAGCAATGTGTGTGTGTGTGGGAGGGGGGTTTGCTAGATCCAAGTTGGGAAACTCTTGGAGATTTGAGGATGGAGCTTGGGGAGGACAAGAACCTCAGTGGGGCACAATGCCACAGAGTCCACCCTCCAAAACATCCATTTCATCCAGGATAACTGCTCTCTAAGAACATAAGAACATAAGAGACGCCAATGTTGGATCAGGCCAAAGGCCCATCCAGTCTAACACTCTGTGTCACACAGTGGCCAGAAATACCAGGTGCCATCAGGAGGTCCACCAGTGGGGCCAGGACATTAGAAGCCCTCCCACTGTTGCCCCCCCCAAGCACCAAGAAGACAGAGCATCCCTTGCCCCAGAGCCCCTATCTATACCTTGTGGCTAATAGCCACTGATGGACCTCTGCGCCATATGCTTATCTAATTCCCTTTTGAAGCCGTCCATGCTTGTAGCCGCCACCACTTCCTGTGGCAGTGAATTCCGTAGTCTGGAGATGAGCTAAAAATCCAGGGGAGGCCCAGGTTACCTGGCCAGGGAGAGCGTCATCAATCTCTTCTTGTAGCCTCTGCTGAACATCTGGGTGGGTGGCCAGGCAGTACGATAGGAAGCTAAGGGTGGAGCTGGTGGTCTCGTACCCAGCAAAAATGAAGACGGTGGCCTGTGTTATTATCTCCTTGTCACTCAGAGCTGGAGAAGGAGAGGAAAGCAGAGAGAGGAAGACATACTTGAGAATCTGTACTATGCAAGGAGAGCTAAACTATTGCGTTTACTTAAAATATTTAGATCCCACATGCTACCTAACCCTGAGGAGCTGCGGTGGCTCAAGTGGTTAAGACGCTGAACTGCAGGCTGTGGAAGGTCGGTAGTTCAGCAGTTCGAGACCCGGGTTGCCGCATGACGGGGTGAGCTCCCGTCTCTAGTTCCAGCTCCTGCCAACCTACCAGTTCGAAAGCAAGAAATTGCAAGTAGATAAATAGGTACCACTTCAATGGGAAGGTAACAGCGTTCCGTGCGCCATGGTGTTTAGTCATGCCGGCCACATGATCACGGAAACGTCTTCGGACAGCGCTGGCTCTTCGGCTTTGAAACGGAGATGAGCACCGCAACCCTAGAGTCGGACTCGACTGGCTTTCGAGCAAGGGAACCTTTACCTTTTTACCTAACCCTGTCTAACTCAACAATACTGGGTGATTCTGCATTTGCTTTTCCCTCTGGTTGTTGTTTTTTTTCTCTTACAGTTTCTTTATAATTTTATTTGAAATTGAGTGCAAACAATTGAATATCAACAACTAAGCAACATACAATGTTTCAGAGTAACAAGACAAATAGGATTACCGTATTTTTCGGACCATAAGACGCACCGGACCTTAAGACGCACCTAGTTTTTAAAGGAGGAAAACAGGGAAAAAAATATTCTGAACCTTCGGTCCATAAGACGCACTCACTTTTCCTCTCACTTTTTTGGAAGAAAAAGTGAGTCTTATGGTCCAAAAAATACGGTACTTAAACTTCAGAACTTCAGAACTTCAGAACAGAAGGGTGAATAGTGCAATTACGGTGGATAACTGGGATTTTGGTTCAGCATAACCTGCGGTAGAGAACCTGTTACAAGGATGTATCATTTGTGAGTTGCCTGAGAGTACTGTATACTGACGTGCACATGTATACAACCATGATCTTGGTCATCCGGGGTCAGCTAGTGTGCTGTGTTGTCAAAGATTCAGGAGTATAGCTTAGTTAAAGGTGAAGCCACGATGCAAAGTTCGGATTCTGTGTGCAAAGTTCCCCTCTCCGTTGCATGCTGCTTTCACTTTCTTTGATCATCGGGTTTCGTGGTACCTTCTGCATAGATTTATAGCCGTTCAGGGTGACTTTGTAGTCAGTACGGCATTGGCCCAAGGGGTGTTTGACCTTGTAATTATATTGCTGATCGATGGTGGCATGGTATAGTTTAATCTTGTCAGATCTCACAAACTAAGCAGGGTCAGTACTTGGAAGGGAGACCTCCAAGGAAGACTCTGCAGAGGAAGGCAACGGCCAACAACCTCTGCTTCTCCCTTGCCTTGGAAGCCCCTTGCTCGGGTTCCCTTCAGTTATAAGCTAAGCAGGGTCACTACTTAGAATGGAGACTGCCAAGGAAGACTCAGCAGAGGAAGGCCATGGCAAAACACCTCTGCTTCTCACTTGCCTCAAATGCCCCTTGCTGGGGTCACCATAAATCTTGGAAGGGAGACCACCAAGGAAGACTCTGCAGAGGAAGGCCATGGCCAACCACCTCTGCTTCTCACTGGCCTCGAAAGCCCCTTGCCTGGGGTCGTCTTAAGTTGTAAGCTAAGCAGGGTGGGTACTTGGAAGGGAGACCACCAAGGAAGACTCTGCAGAGGAAGGCCATGGCCAACCACCTCTGCTTCTCACTGGCCTCGAAAGCCCCTTGCCTGGGGTCGTCTTAAGTTGTAAGCTAAGCAGGGTCACTACTTGGAAGGGTAACCTCCAAGGAAGGCTCTGCAGAGGAAGGCGATGGCAAACCACCTCTGCTTCTCCCTTGCCTTGAAAGCCCTTTGCTGGGGTCGCCATAAGTCAATCGCAACTTGACAACCCCTATGTACATAATTACATTGCTGTAATTATGAGATTTACAAAAGCCCATGCTCCCAAAATGTACATTTTTTTGTAATTGATACCATGAATTGAACCAGGAGCAAGGTTTACACTTTACTAAGGACTTCTCCCCACATAACGAAGTGGCGTCCTTACAGAAAACAGAGCCTCTTCAGTTCTAAAGTAAAGGTAAAGGTTCCCTTGCTCAAAAGCCAGTCGAGTCCGACTCTAGGGTCGCGGTGCTCATCTCCGTTTCAAAGCTGAAGAGCCAGCACTGTCTGAAGATGTTTCCGTGGTCATGTGGCCAACATGACTAAACACCAAGGCGCACGGAACGGCATTCCCTTCCCACCGAAGTGGTACCTATTTATCTACTTGCAATGTCTTGCTTTCGAACTGCTAGGTTGGCAGGAGCTGGAACTAGAGATGGGAGCTCACTCCGTCATGCGGCACACTCGGGTCTCAAACTGCTGAACTACTGACCTTCCACAGCCTGCAGTTCAGCGTCTTAACCACTTGAGCCACCGCAGCTCTACAGTTCTACAGCCCGGTTATTTCTGCACATTTCCCTAGGGTTTACCATAAGCCCTCTTAGCAGAACCACCGATAGCCAAAATTCAAAGCAGGTGTCTATGCATTTACCTTTATAGGACTTTGCCTCTTCAGACGCATCATTGGAAACCTGGGAGTCTATCATTAGCTGCATAAAGTCAACCCGGTTCTGTGGAACAACAGAGACAGAGAAGCTGTAGTTCGCAAGTCCGTTGCACGCCCAACCCCCTCGGGAGGTGACCCAAGAATCATGAGATAACCCTGGTAGAACTTATCTTGGTGAAGAACCTTATTGTTTTTAAGCAAAGGGGAAGCACTGACCATACATTTCCCAAAGGGGAAGCCAAGGGACTCCCGTAGGCTAGACCGACCTGGTGATCGTTCTTCTGCCGATCGTTCTTGATTTTCTTGACCACGTCGACGAAGAAGTTGATGAAAGAGGCTGGCATCAAACTGACTCTTATCTTTTCCAGCAGTGGTGTAAGGAACGGGAAGAGGACTGCCAAAAAGGAAAAGCAAAGTGTATTTTGGAAGATTTGGTTCAGGGGAGAGCCCAGTAGTTACTGTTAACTAAAAGGTAAAGGTAAAGGTTCCCTTGCTCGAAAGCCAGGGTTGCGGTGCTCATCTCAGTTTCAAAGCCGAAGAGCCAGCGCTGTCTGAAGACGTTTCCGTGGTCATGTGGCCGGCGTGACTAAACACCAAGGTGCACGGAACGCTGTTACCTTCCCACTGAAGTGGTACCTATTTATCTACTTGCAATGTCTTGCTTTCGGACTGCTAGGTTGGCAGGAGCTGGAACTAGAGACGGGAGCTCACTCCGTCATGCAGCAACTCAGGTCTCGAACTGCTGAACTATTGACCTTCCACAGCCTGCAGTTCAGCGTCTTAACCACTTGAGCCACCGCAGCTCCTACTTACTGTTAACTAGGAAGACCTAAATAGCTCTTTAAGAAGGACCGACCTCTGAGTTCAGATCCCGCCACAGAACACAGACCTCACTGGCTGAACGTGGGCTAGTGTCTCTCAGTCTAACCTACCTCACCGGACCGTCACTAGGTAAATGGAGGGAGTTGTACTGAAGCAGACAGGACCTTAGTTAGGATAAAAAGAAATAATAATCACAGAGACATTTTGTGGTGGCACCGAATTCCTCTCCTCAAAGACCCAGGTCATAGAGCTGCACTGCACAAAATGGTTTTACAGACTTGCTTGGATTACTCAACACCTTTCCATCACCGCACTCTACCACCGCTGGTGCGGGTATCATCGGGGGTGCGAGACGTCCTTAGTGGAGGACAGGACTGTGGGGGCATATACTGTAGTTGTTCTGTTCTAACATCTTCAGAACACCATCTTGGTTTTATGATTTGGAGTGAGTCTCGGAGCACCCATTTTTATTTTTACTAATTTTAATTAATTGTAGTATGCTGTATTATTGTATCGTCGTGTTGTTTTTTATTGTTATAATCTGACATTTATGCCCCCATTAGCCGCCCGGAGCCTTCGGGGAGGGCGGGATACAAATCTAAAGAATAAAATAAAAAAAATGAAGAAGAAGAAGATAAGTGATTGGATTTATACCCCTTGCCCTCCACTTCGAGTCTCAGAGCGGCTCACAAACTCCTCTCCCTTCCCCTCCCCACAACAGACACCCTGTGAGGTGGGTGGGGCTGAGAGAGCTCTGACACAAACTGCTCTTTTTCAAGGACAGCTGTGCCCGACCTTGTGACTGACCCAAGGTCATCCAGCAGGTGCAAGTGGAGGAGTGGGGAGTCAAACCCGGTTCTCCCAGATTAGAGTCCGCACACTTAACCACTACACCAAATGATTCAGGACTGCGGTCTGTACTGCTGGTGTATAGCTCATTGCACCCTGGCCTGGGTAGCCCAGACTAGACGGATCTCGTCAGATCGCAGAAGCTAAGCAGGGTCGGTCTTGGCTAGTACTTGGGAGCAATGTTCCCTCTAAGCTCTTGAGTCTTGTGAGCTAAAAATTCTCCTTTGTGACCTACTGGCATGAAAGTTGTGAGCAAGCAATTTGGCTCCTGCGTAAATTGGTTTGCTCTGGAGCCATCCTCCCCGAGCCAAGACAAAAATGTGTGAGCCGGAGGCTAAAAAACTGTGAGCTAGCTCACACTAACTCAGCTTAGAGGGAACATTGCTTGGAAGGGCGGCCTCCGAGGAATACCAGGGCCGTGACTCAGGGGCGGGAGATGGCAAACCACCTCTGAAATGTCTCTTGCCTTAAAAACAAGTCTAGCTCACCACCTAGTGGTGCACAATGCTAAAACAGAGCTTCTGACTGCCAGACAATTTTAGGATCTCCTGACTATACTACACACAATGCATACTACCACAAAGAAGAAGAAGAAGAAGAAGAAGAAGAAGAAGAAGAAGAAGAAGAAGAAGAAGAAGAAGAAGAAGAAGAAGAAGAAGAAGAAGAAGAAGAAGAAGAGCTTATTGTAAGCAGGATCCTCCTTATGTTATTTCTGAACAACTTAATGTGTCATGTGAATACTTCTGCTGCACTTCAGGTCTTTCTGCCGGTTCCAGACTTCTAAAATCCTAATGCCTTGGTTACTGACTGTCCCATTTCTGTGATTATATTGGCTCACATTGTGTAATCTGCCTTGAGCCCCTACAAGAAAGGTGGACGACAAATAACGTAAACTACAAACAAGCAAACTTGGAAAAGTGCCCACACGATCATTAAGACCGTTGACCTGCACAATAGAGTCTGGGCGATCTGGATTCAAATTCCCACAAAGCGCAATGAGTGACTTTGTGCCAGTCACGCTTCCTCTCAGCCTACCTCACGGGGTCGTTGTGAGACTCAGATGCCACCCGGAGCTCCTTCGAGGAAGGGGAGGATAACATTGACTCTAGACCAGAGGTTGATTCGGGGGGAATCGTGGGGGATCGCAGTTCCCCCAGGGGGTGTGGCGGGATGGGGCACATGACGAAGCCCCACCCCCTGCTTCCGGCCGCCCCGCTTCCGGCCCTCATTTAGCCAGGAGGAGGCAGGAGAAGAGGGAGGGTAAGTTGCTTCCTCCCCACCTTTCCCCACCCCTGCCTGCCTGGGGCCAGGGTGGGCCTTGGCGGGGCTTCCTCGCACTCCCGCCAGCCTTGCAGGTCCACCACCAGGCCTTATGATGTCAGGGGTGTGGCATATGCTAATGAGTTATGCTAATGAGTTCCCCTAGCTCTTTTTCTACAAAACGACCCCTGCTCTAGACCATTAGTGCCTTGGAATCAGCCCCCTCCTGCCAACCGGGCTACGGAAAAGGGGCAGAGTTCCAGCAGCTGTAATGCGTAAAAGACCTTGTACCTATCAGGATTATCAGTGGGTGTAAGAAGCTGAACTCGAGTAACTTCTTGACGTGCAGGGTGAAGGGATCGTTGGGGTTGTTCATGGAATCTACGTTGATGCTGAAGGCAGTGCTGGCTACGACATCCATACTGTAGGCCCCGAAGATGCTGGGAAGGGGGGAGGGAAGGGAAAGACGGAGAACACACAGTTACTTGTCACATCATTGACCCACATTGTTTCCTAAAGAGGCTTAAGGCAATTGAAAGAATAGTAACATTAAAGTATATATTTTTAAATCTTCAGGGAGGGGATTCTTGCTCCAGGCACGATTGGGGGTAGAAACTGTTGGAAATATGCGAGTTGCAAGGTCCAAGACTCAGTCATTATAGGGTTAATCTGTGGTTTGCCTTGTGGGCTATTGTTTAGCCTGACCCAGAAGGAAACCTGGCACAGAGCCAATGGAAAGATAGCCCGGGAAAACGGAGGTCTGTTTTGTAACATTGATTGGTTAATGCAATCAGGTGATTTCCTTCTCGGGGTCAAGAAGAAGAAGAATCTCCATGGTTGTATGACCATGTGGTCTGTCTGTTTGTAGCTGTAAAGATGTAGTTCTAGGTATCTTTTATTTTGTAGGTTTCCTGTGTTACCCTTAGAAATAAAGATTTTTACTCAGAAAGAACAGTGAAGCAAAGATCCATTGCAAACTCTGAATATCTAAGTATTTTTGAATATTTTCCCCAACAGAAACAGGGTTGCCAGGTCTGAACAAAAAGCCAGCAGGGACTTACCGGGATGGTCCGGGACAGGGGAGGGAAGACGCATGCCATGCCCATGTGACCTCCGGGTGACAGAGGCACATCAGGGATGTCGGGGGCAACAACAGTGGCCACATTGTTGACATCGAGGGGACACTCTGGTTTTTGGGCAAAACTGTAGGGTTTGGAGCTAATTCTACCATAGAGTTTTTCCCAAAAACCAGAGCGTTGCTCCCCAGTGTCAACGACATGCCTATGTCACTTCCGGGTGAAGTAGGCACGTTGCATTGGGGGCTGTAACTATTCCCCATCAGCCAACTGGCTGGCGCCAGGGGGTGCACCGGAAACCAGGGGATCCCTTGCACACTGGGGGGACCTGGCAAACCTAGGTAGGAATTCCCTGGTTGTTGCCTTTTCTTCCTCCATCAGGCATCAAAGAGAGCTTTTTTCCCACCATAGAGAACAATGGAGGGGATAGGGGCAACCTGTTTGGGGGCCCGTAGAATTGGACCCCCTGGTCCAATGCTCTTCAAATTTGGTTGGTATCTTGGGGAGAGTCTTCAGCAGCTACCCTGTGAGCTTGGAGCCTCTCCCTCAAACCCCCTCCTCTCCAGTCCCCAGAATATACCCTATGTGTTTGCCATTGACTTCAATGGCCCATAGGATATAATGGGGTGGCAATTCGGCGGCAAGCCAATTCAGGTCAGAGAATCTGAATCGGCCTGCAGCAGCCCGAAAGGGGTCCGAATGGGCCATTTTCGGGGGTGCATTCGATGCAGACGAACCAAATGCACATCCCTAATCCCATATATGCCCCAGAGAGCATTACACTCTGTGGATCAACGTCTCCTGGTGGTCCCTGGCTTGAAAGACGTCTGTTTTGACTCAACCAGGGCCAGGGCTTTTTCTGGTGGAACATGCTCCCTATTGAGATCAGGACCCTGCGGGATCTCCTTCAATTCTGCAGGGCCTGTTCCACCAGCCCTTCAGCTGAGGCGGTGGGTGTCCACGTACAGCCTCCCTGGGGTTCTCGTCACCTGTCCAACAATTTGCTGGCTATAATGGGGTGGCTGTGACGTATTTCATTTTTCACTTGAATAAAACTGTTGAGACAAAAAAAATCTCCTCAGCCTCAAAACTGAGGTGAGGAAAAAACACAGAGAACAGCAGTGGAGATGATCTCTCTGCGGCGGCAAAAAGAGAACTGAGGGAGTAGCGCCCCTCCTCCTGGTCATGTGAGCGTTTTGGCGGGAAAGCGCCATAGGGAGGAGGGGCGCTCCTAGTCTATTAGGAAGCTAGGAAATCTTCTCAGCCTCAAAACTGAGGTGAGGAAAAAACACAGAGAACAGCCGTGGAGATGATCTCTCCGTGGCGACAAAAAGAGAACTGAGGGAGTAGTGCCCCTCCTCCTGGTCATGTGAGCGTTTTGGCGGGAAAACGCCAGAGGGAGGAGGGGCGCTCCTAGTCTATTAGAAAGCTTGGAAATCTTTTCCATGGCTGGCCTGCGACTGCGCAGTCCCCCATGTGTGACTGCACAGAAGACCACTCGATGAACAACAGTTACAGATAAGTGCAACCTTGTTTTACTGTCGTATTTTAATATTTTAATTGTGTCTATCGTGTTTCTATTATGTTGTTACCCGCCCTGAGCATGCTTGTGGGAAGGGGGGGGGCTATAAGTGTGAATAAACAAACAAGCAAATAAAATAGAACAGAACCCATTTGCAATCGTATGGCGAAGAAAGCTTTTCTCTCCCTCCCACTACTCCATCAGCAGAATCGCATCTAGCGGAGCTTTTTTAAGACTGCGGGAGACCCGTGGGTCCCTGGTTCCAGTTCTTTGTTTTGCTTGCTCGTGCATAGTCCTGCTTACCTGAGAAAATTGTAGGGTTCGCTTTCTGCGGCAGCGCTGTTGGGTAGCTGCTCTAATTGTTGTTTTTCTTGAGCTCGCGCCCCCGTGTTGAAAACAACACATCTCAAAATATATATTGTGCAGCCTGTCAGCATTGTTTAACCTGTGTTCTCTAGTTTTTCCAGATAGGTGAACTTTTCAGTGGCAGGGTGAGGGGCATCCAGTCTGTAATTCTAAAGGGTGCCCTGACCTGGATAGCCCATCAGATCTCGGCAGCTAAGAAGGGTTGGCCTTGGCTAGTATTTGGAAGGGTGCTGGCCTGTTGCTATGGTGGGCCTATTTGGGGCTCTGCCCCCTTCCTTAAAGCCCCCCCCACATCTTTAAGAGCCCCCACTTTTTCTCAAAAGCATTTAAAGGGATCCCTTTAAGCTGAGTGTTCCCTCTAAGCTGAGTGAGTGTGAGCTAGCTCACAGTTATTTCGCCTCCGGCTCACACATTTTTGTCTTCGCTCAGGAAGGAGGGCCCCAGAGCAAACTAATTTGTGCAGCAGCCAGATCGCTCGCTCACAACTTCAATGCCAGTGGCTCACAAAGTAGGATTTTTGCTCACAAGACTCCACAGCTTAGAGGGAGCGTTGGTGCACACCAGTGTTCCCTCTAAGCTGAGTTCGTATGAGCTAGCTCACAGTTTTTGAGCCTCCAGCTTGCACATTTTTGTCTTCGCTCAGGAAGGAGGGCTCCTGAGCAAACTAATTTATACAGCAGCCAAATCGCTCACTCACAACTTCAATGCCAGTGGCTCGCAAAGTAGGATTTTTGCTCACAAGACTCCACAGCCTAGAGGGAGCGTTGGTGCACACCCCTGTCCCTCCCTCCTGCAAGATTTAAATGGCCCTCCAGCTGCTCAGCAGGTCACGTGCTCTCTCGCGATCAGCTGAAGGGCCCTTTAAATCTTGCAGGGGGGAGGCGCACACTACCCCCTCCTTCCTTATGGCAAATAATGGCAGCCCCAGGGGAAAAGATTGCCCCACAAGCCACAAAATCCTGGCTACGGTCCTGGAAGGGCGACCTCCAAGGAATACCAGGGTCGAGAAACAGAGGCAGGCAATGGCAAATCCCCTCTGAAATGTCTCTTGCCTTAAAAACAAGTCTAGCTCGCCACCTAATGGTGCATAATGCTAAAGAGCTAGGACTTCTGCCTCCCAGACAATCTCAGGATCTCCTAGCTATTCGACACACAATGCCAAACGATAATTAATTAGTGAGTTAACTGATTCCTAACTGGTAACTGGTAACTGATTCCTAACTATAAGGAAGGCCGAGTGCCGAAGAATAGATTCTTTTGAACTATGGAGCTGGAGAAGACTCTTGAGAGTCCCTTGGATTGCAAGAAGATCAAATCAGTCAATCCTAAAAGAAATCAACCCTGACTGTTCCCTGGAAGGCCAGATAATGAAACTGAAGCTCAAAGACTTTGGCCACCCAATGAGAAGGGAGCCCTCACTGGAGAAGACCCTGATGCTGGGAAAGACTGAAGGTCAAAGAAGACGGGGACGGCAAAGGATGAGATGGTCAGACAGTGTCATAGATGCAACGAACATGTAATTGAGCCAACTTCAGAGGACGGTGGAAGACAGGAAGGCCTGGCGTGATGTGGTCCATGGGGTCGCAGAGAGTCAGACTCGACTGTGCGACTGAACAACAACAACAAACTGGTATTTATCCGAACAGCGCATAATCTTGTTTCCTCAAAAGGCAGACCTTCCACTCCAGATGCTATGCTCTAGAAAAGCAAAATGGCGGCACGTCTTCTGCAGTTTCCATCGCAAAATGGACTACCGCCCCACAGGAATTACTCACTCTTTGATGTCTATGGATTCTTCACTGTCTGCCTTCTTTTCAACATGTCTCACCAGCACCTCTCCGTAATGGTTGATGATGGGAAACATCTGAAACACAAACCAAAGAGTGAGCCGCCGCAGACATTTTTGACCACCCATTAAATGGAATCATGCCACGCATCTTTGGAATGGATAAAAATAAACAGCTGCATGACACCAATAAACTTGTAACAGCAACAAGCTCATGTCTCTCAAGTTACTTATAACAATAAACAATATTTCCACAACCCATGTACAAAACAAATTAAGTATAATCACCTATTTGAACAAATACAAAGGTCATTGTTTGGTGTAGTGGTTAAGTGCATGGACTCTAATCTGGGAGAACCGGGTTTGTTTCCCCACTCCTCCACTTGCAGCTGCCAGATGACTTTGGGCAAGCCATAGTTCTCTCAGAGCTGTTCTCTCAAGGACAGTTCTGGAAAGAGCTCTCTCAGCCCCACCTACCTCACAGGGTGTCTGTTGTCGGGAGGGGAAGGGGAAGGAGTTTGTAAGCCACTCTGAGTGAAGGGCCGGGTATAAATCCAATCTTCTTCTTCTTCTTCTTCTTCTTCTTCTTCTTCCTGGAGAAATATTTCCCATGGGATCCTTCCCAAACTCAGTTAAAATGGATCCGTTTACCCCCAAATGGTACCTAAACGATGCTGATAATCAGACTAGGCTGTGATGGCCAAAGACAGACTAGGCTATGATCAACGAGAACACAGTGGCAGAACTCCGTCTGATTGTTATGACTGTGAGAACAGCCCAGTTCAGTTAACCTGGAATAAAAACCCATCGAGTGGCAAAGGCCTGGGATATACAGAAACGGTGAACAGATACACAGGAATAATGAATAGGGGTGAAGAATCCCACCCTGCCTGCATGGTGTAGTGTTAAGAACATTAGCCTAGGACTGGGTCAGTCGTGGACTTCACTGGGTGGCCCCGGGCTAGTCATTGTCTGTCGGCCTAACTTATCTCAGGTGAGGGCCAGAGTGGTGTAGTGGTTAAGAGCAATGGGCTCTAATCTGGAGGACCGGGTTCGATTCCACACTCCTCCCCATGAAGTCAGCTGGGTGACCTTGGGTCAGTCACAGCTCTCTCAGCCTCCAAAATAAGTCTAGCTCGCCACCTAGTGGTGCATAACGCTAAAAGAGCTAGAACTTAAGACTGCCAGACAGTCTTCGGATCTCCAGGCTATACTACACACAATGCCATACGATAATTGTTACTGTTATTATCTCAGGTGACCATTGTGAGGATTAAGGCAAAGACCGGAGAATCATGTTGCTACTTGGAAGGGAGGGGTGAAATAAAATTGTGATTGATAGACAGCCGTCACGTCTTACCTCCTTTAGTCTTCCGCTAGTGAAGGTGGGAGAGAGGACGGCACGGATCCTCTTCCATTTCTCGTCAGCGACTATTACTATGGAAGTGTCCAGTTCTCCATTCAAGCCAAAGTCCTAAGTAGCCCAAGGTACAAACAGAGCCAGATTTTGTACATGGTTTCAGTCTCAGGCTAGTCTTTTTACGTGGATCTAGCCACCGACTATGGTGCTGGAGAAGACTCTTGAGAGTCCCTTGGACTGCAAGAAGATCAAATCAGTCAGTCCTAAAAGAAATCAACCCCGACTGTTCCCTGGAAGGCCAGATAATGAAACTGAAGCTCAAATACTTTGGCCACCCAATGAGAAGGGAGCCCTCACTGGAGAAGAAGACCCTGATGCTGGGAAAGACTGAAGGTCAAAGAAGACGGTTAGACAGTGTCATAGATGCAACAAACATGAAATTGAGCCAACTTCAGAGGACGGCAGAAGACCGGAAGGCTTGGCGGGATCCGGTCCATGGGGTCGAGAAGAGTTGGACTCGACTGTGCGACTGAACAACAAGAAGCCACCGACTAAGCAGCCTCCTCTCTGGTTTGCCTGACTGCATCCATTACCCTTCGACACACAAAGAAACCTCCTTAAAGGATACCTACCCGGCGGTTGGTGAAATAGGTGTAGCATTCTTTTACCAGGATGATTTTGATGAGGTCGGGATCCAGAATAGCCATCACTGGCTGCCGGCCATCAAATATTCTAGTTGCCAAAAATGAGGAGAAAGGAAGAAGATAAACTGGGTGGGTTTTTTTCTTTTGCCCGATGCGCAGCTATAATGTCGAGGTTTCCTCCTCTCAGTTGCAAATTATGGCCAAGGGGCTCAGGTAGGCATTGCTGCCCAAGTACCAACAGGGATTGTCAAGTCCCTGTGGATAACACCGAGCCATAGCAGCATGGGAAAAAGAAGAAGGATGTAGTGTTCCCTTAGAGTTGCAAAAAAAATGTGTTTAGGATTGTGTGGACAACATCTGCTGGGATTTTCTAAAGCCACATGTGGCCAAAAGCTTTGCAAAATGAAGTGAGAGTAGGTATATATATTTTTATATACATACATACATATATATGTATGAAGGTTGCGGAATGCAGCCTTTCTTGGCGAGGAGTTGGGATTACTTGGACAGAATGTCTTTTTTCCAGAAGGGGATGTACAAAACCCTGGATTTGGGGAGTTATGGTCCCTTCCCCACTTGCAACACATCCCTGGTTTTATCAGAGTTCAACTCGTGACACAATACCTTGCATTTATCCCTGGTTATAACAGCATCCATTTATCCTGGGACAAATGTGGGGTGAAACCGGGCTGACCTCAATGTAAGGGGCAAACTCGAGTGTAGTGTGGAATGTAAAAATACCCCGAGATAATTACAGGGGCGAACTCGAGTGTAGTGTAGAATGTAAAAATATCCCGAGATGATTACAGGAGTGAACTCGAGTGTAGTGTAGAATGTAAAAATACCCCGAGATAATTACAGGGGCAAACTCGAGTGTAGTGTAGAATGTAAAAATACCCCAAGATGATTACAGGGGTGAACTCGAGTGTAGTGTAGAATGTAAAAATACCCCGAGATAATTACAGGGGCAAACTCGAGTGTAGTGTAGAATGTAAAAATACCCCAAGATAATTACAGGGGTGAACTCGAGTGTAGTGTAGAATGTAAAAATATCCCGAGATGATTACAGGAGTGAACTCGAGTGTAGTGTAGAATGTAAAAATACCCCGAGATAATTACAGGGGCAAACTCAAGTGTAGTGTAGAATGTAAAAATACCCCGAGATAATTACAGGGGCAAACTCGAGTGTAGTGTAGAATGTAAGTTCGGGGACAGGGTTGCACCAGGATTTAAGATTTAGTGCAGAAAGGACTATAGTGACCAGAGAAGAGAACTGACAGAACAGATACTCATGTAGGATTATCATTTTCCCCCCTGTTAAAATGCTAGTGAACAGAAAGGCAGACAGTTCCCCAGCAGAATGCCTTACAACTGGACAAAAATCGCACAAAGGGAAGAAAGAACAAGATGAGAGATGGAGAAAATCAGTAGACTGAGGGACATGCAATGACCAGGTGGAAAAGGCCAGATGACAACCGACCACAGCCAAGTCAGTCTAACGTGGAAGCGGTCTTACATAGGGTTCCCATCCTCCAGGTGGGGACTGAAGATCTCCTGGAATTACAGCTGATCTCTAGACCACAGATATCAGGTTTCCCTAGAGGAAATTGCTGCTTTGGCAGGTAGACTCTATGGCATTATACCTCACTGAGATATATCCCCTTCCCAACCCCCCCTCCCTGGGTTCCACCCCCAAATCTCCAGGAATTTTCCAATCCAGAGTTGGAAGGTCTAGTCTTGCCCAACCGTTTGATAGCAATGAATCCCCAGATCCACAGCACAATCGAAACCCGCCCATTAATTCACAAACCAAACCACTAATGGTGTTGGCATTCTGAAGGCAGAGAATACAGTTTCTAAGTAAATACCACATGGGTTTGCATGCTTGTTTTGAGAAATTCACTGCACAGGCATCTATATGTTTAAAGACCACCTTTTGCTCGAGGCCTTTTACAAGTAAAACGAATATAAACCCTCGAGACTGCTATATAAAACCATGCAACAACAATGTACATGTTATGTATTGGGACTGAATCATCCCTGATTGAATCACCCCAGAGAATGGCTGAGCTTGGAGCACAAGAACATTAGCTGACCAGGACTCTGGAATAAACCAATCAAGTAGTAATGTTTTGTAAATAGCCTATCACGGGGAGTGGGTCTGTGTGGGGTGGGGTGTTCTCCATGCATATAAGCAGGGCTCCAGCCCTGCTAGAGTTGTCTTAGAGTTAAGCTGAAATCACTAATAAACTATGAACCGATCACTATATGCGTCTCAAACCCAGTATATTTCAGTACGCATGCCCAATGGGGGTTCAAAACAGAGACAAACAGAACTCCTAGAAACGGCAGTCCCAATCAGCAATATCAGAAAAAGCTCACTCGAATAAAACCATCTTATACTTATTTATCTAGATTTATATCCCGCCCTTCCGACAAGCCCTTAGAGCGGGTTACGACAATCAATAAGGCATTCAAAATGGATATTAAGCTCCAGTGTATAATTTGGCGGGATACTTACCCCCAAATCTTACCATACTTCAGAAAACATTCCTGATCAAACTGAAAAATCCCCTGCCAAGGTAAAAGAGATGTCAGAGGTACAGCAAGCAAAGGGAATTTCCAGTCAGAGTTTAAGGGGGCTATCGCACATGTGAAATAATTCCAGTTCAATCCACTTCCGAGACCGTTTGCAAGTGCATTTTGCCATTTCCCACAGCACAATCCACTTGCAAAGTGCACGGAAAGTGGATTGAAAGTGTGTTATTTGGGCTGGTTCTGCATCGGCTTTTCCCTCGGTTGTTTTACGAAACCCACGTTGGAACCGAAATCCCCCCCTGCATTGCATGCGGGTTTCATTTCCTTCGATTATCGGATTTTATTGTACCTCCTGCATAGATTTATGGCTGTTTTATGGCCATTCATGGGTGACTTTGCAGTCGGTACGGCGTTGCCCCGAGGTATTTGAATGTGGATTTGAGCTGCCCGTTGAGAAAATGTGGAGTGACTGCAAGATGCAGAATCAGCCTTAATGTGTCCAGTGGCAGCTTTAAAACCAACAAAGTCTTATTCAAGGTACAAGCTTTCGTTTGCATGCACACTTCTTCAGATAAAGAGGAAAAAGACTTCCTCAACCATTACATATAGGCAGAGGGGAGTTAGTTGCCAGGAACGGCTAGTTAGAGTCAAGATGCATAAGTAACTGAGATTCTCCACTATAATTGCCTGGTTACTTATGCATCTTGACTCTAACTAGCCCTTCCTGGCAACTAATCCCACCTCTCTCTACCTATATGTAATAGTTGAGGATGTCTTGTTCCACTGTATCTGAAGAAGTGGGCATGCACACAAAATACCTTGAATAAAACTTTGTTGGTCTTAAAGCTGCCACTGGACTCAGACTTTGTCCTGTTGCTTCAGACCAACACAACTACCCACCTGGATCTATTTAGTCTGTGTAAAAGCGCAATCTACAGACTACACCAGTTTGGTGTCGTGGTTAAGTGCCCGGACTCTAATCTGGGAGAACTGGGTTTGATTCCCCACTCCTCCACTTGCACCTGGCTGGATGACCTAATCTGGGAGAACCGGGTTTGATTCCCCACTCCTCCACTTGCAGCTGCTGGTGTGACCTTGGGTCAGTCACAAGCTCTGGCACAGCTGTGCTTGAAAAAGAGCAGTTTGTGTCAGAGTTCTCTCAGCCCCACCCACCTCACAGGGTGTCTGTTGTGGGGAGGGGAAGGGAAAAGGAGTTTGTAAGCCACTCTGAGACTCCAAGTGAAGGGCAGGGTATAAATCCAATCTCCTCCTCCTCCTCCTCCTCCTCCTCCTCCTCCTTTTGCAATGCTTACTAATTGCTACGAAAACCCTGGCTGCATCCCACCTCAGCTACTTCCGTGTCCTACTGGTAGTATGTGTACAACTGGTTGAGGACCACTGGACTAAAGAATGGGACAGAGAGACTGTAGCCCACCAGGACAGGATCATGGAGGCCTGTAGATCTATCAACGACAAGCCTGAACATGTATTTGCCTCTCCTGTGTTGAAATGCTACCTACTGCCTGGGTTGGCAGACGGAAGGCAAAACCAAGCAGAAAAGGGATGTATACATATTGCAAGTTTCTGCTACCTAAGAGAGTAAAGTCCACGTGACTTTGTCGGGCAGTCTATAGTTCACTAGCTTTTTTCTCCAGCATAATAAAACACCACCAATGCCCTTGGGCAAAAGCCAACCAAATCAGCCCTTCAATCCCTGCCCTCTGTGAAATCCAACAACAACATAATCCGGGCTGCTGTCTCTCATTTTAACACGGCATTGTCCAAGTACGTACAGTGCTATTTGCACAATCCAACACAAATTGACTGCCCAAAGGGCCATTGATACTCACTTTCCGGTATTCATGAAACGTCCCAATGAAAGGCAGAGGCCGCGGCCCAGGAATCCCCAACTTCTTAAAGAAACCGTATGGCCAGATCCCATATCTAGGAAGAAGAAGAAGAAGAAGAAGAGATTGGATTTATACCCCGCCCTTCACTTGGAGTCTCAGAGCGGCTTACAAACTCCTTTCCCTTCCTCTCCCCACAACAGACACCTGTGAGGTGGGTGGGGCTGAGAGAACTCTGACACAAACTGCTCTTTAAGGAACAGGTGTGCCAGAGCTTGTGACTGACCCAAGGTCACATCAGCAGGTGCAAGTGGAGGAGTGGGGAATCAAACCCGGTTCTCCCAGATTAGAGTCCGCACACTTAACCACTACACCATTGCAAGAGATAAGTTGGTGACTTTAAAGGCACCGCACACATACGCATACACACAAAATCAGCGTTTGCAGGGGAAGAAGAGCAATTGTTGTGGGATCATGCAGCAAGCAGTGTTCCCTCTAAGCTGAGTTAGCGTGAGCTAGCTCACAGTTTTTTAGCCTCCAGCTCGCGGATGGCTCCAGAGCAGACTAATTTATGCAGCAGCGGAATCGCTCGCTCACAACTTTAATGCTAGCAGCTCACAAAGTAGAATTTTTGCTCACAAGACTCCACGGCTTAGAGGGAACATTGGCAGCAAGTAGTTTTATTCCAGCAGTTCCACTTGTCACCAAAACCTGAGAGGATGGAGAACTCCCCCCATGCCACATTCTTTATTCCCAAACACAACTCTTGCGTCTCCAGCTGTAGATGCTACAGCTGTGAGATGTCTCAGGAAGGCTGATTCTGCACTGGTTTTCTCCTCCGTTGTCTTAGCAAACCCACGTTGGAACAGAAACTTCTCTCTGCATTGCATGCCGCTTTCACTTCCTTTGATCTTCGGATTGCACGGTTGCCTCTACACTCCACGCCGCTTTCGCTTCCTTTGATCATCAAGCCTGATTGAATTTGTTGCATTGCCCATGTTTGATTTATACTGCTGGTATTCTGTACTAGGGCTACCAAGTACTTACCGCAAATCGGCGGGGGACGTATAGTTCTAGGCGGGAACATTCCCGTGGGGAAAACACAGGCGCTGCACTATCCTGTCGCCCAGACATGATGTGGGCATGTAGCCGGGCGACGCTCTGGCAATGGGGCTGAAAACTCAATGGTACCAGATGCCATAGCATCGCCCGGCTACGTGACCAGCATGCTTACATCACATCTGGGCGACAGCAGAGGTCATTTCGGGGGGGAACGCGGGGGATCGCAGTTCCCCCAGGTGAGGTGCGGGGGCGGGGCACACGATGAAGCCCCGCCCCCTGCTTCCAGCCACCCCGCTTCCAGCCCTCATTCAGCCAGAAGGAGGCAGGAGAAGAGAGAGGGTAAGTTGCTTCCTCCTCGCCTCTCCCACCCCTGCCTGCCTGGGGCCAGGGAGGGCCTTGGCGGGACTTCCTCGCACTCCCGCCGGCCTTGCAGGTCCACCGCCAGGCCCCTGATCTCAGGGGGTGTGGCATATGCTAATGAGGTATGCTAATGAGTTCCCCTAGCTCTTTTTCTACGAAATGACCCCTGGGCGACAGGATAGTGCGACGTGGCCGTGTTACACGCAAGAATGTTCCGGCGGGGAAGCATGTGTCCCCCGCCGATTCGTAGGTAGGTACTTGGTAACCCTATTCTGTACCCTTATCGCTGCTCTCATTTGCCATTGCATTCCTTGGGGGGGGGAGCAAGTGTGTGTAGTGTGCTAGGGAGGATTGCTTGGTAATTTTCCTAAGAGGGCCCCAAGACATCTTTCACATGAGAAATGTCCTTTGGAGAAGTCTGTGCCTGGCTAGATAGTGGCTGTATATCTTTCAGAGTCACGGTAGTAATGCTGACGTAGGTGTGCACGGAATTTTGGGGTCTTTACCTGTATCTTGTCCTTTCCCACCTTTGCAAATCAGTCCTAACAAAGAGCTTGAACCCACAGCATCTCATCTCTCTAAATAAAGCATTCACTGCCAAAGTGTGTGTGGAGAGTGATTTGACTGGGAACCTGACAGATTTATGCAGGGGTCATTTTGTAGAAAAAGAGGTGCAGGAGCTCATTAGCATAACTCATTAGCATAACTTATTTGCCTATGCCACACCCCCTGACATCACCGGAAGTGTGTCAGCAGGCAACACCCACCGCTCAGGCTCCACTGGACATTTTTGGATTGCTAGCTATTGGGGGGGGGAGAGAACGTGCAGATCTGTCCTCGCAGAGGAGGGAGAGCTTGTACCTGTGTCAAAAGTACTCTCTGTGTCAAGAGTACTCCATCTTTCTGTGTTATACCTCTGGGGATGCCAGTCACAGCTACTGGCGAAACGTCAGGTCCTACAATGCCAAGACCACAGCCATACAACCCAGAAAATCTACAACAGCTAATGAACTCCGGCTGTGAAAGCCTTCGACAACATATTGTTTAGATGTATGTTAACTGCAGCAAGAGTAGTATTTGCAGCTAAGTGGGAAGATGAGGGTTGCCCAACTCTTGATAACTGGATAGATAAGATGCAAGACTATGCAGTTATGGCAAAACTGACAAACTCCATTAACCAAAGACCGAAAGATGAATTTGGAAACAACTGGCCAGGGTGTTTTTTTTTTAATGATTATTAACTGATCTCCTAGTTATATGTCTGAAAGGTCTAATATTATAGGATAATACCATACAAAATATAAAAGGTATTATTTGTACGTGTTGTTTGCTATTACAAACTGTTGTGTGAACATTTTATTAAAAATTTCTATGAGATTATTTATGCTATACCATATAATAGATAAAATTGATCAGATAAGATAAAATGATAATACAGTCTGAGAAAATGGTAAAATATATCAAATAGGTCATTCTACCAATCTTTTAAGTTACGATGTCATATGTATTTCTAAGATACATTCCTATGCCATTACACCATATATATCATGTTATATATATTTTTAAAGTATTATGCCATAAAAATATACATATGTATTGTGATAAAGGAATGTCCTCAATATTTTTCAAATTGCCCTTACATTATAGTTTCCCTATTCCTTTTTTCCCCTTTCTGTATCCCCTTTAAAATATCTATCTCGATAGATAGATAGATAGATAGATAGATAGATAGATAGATAGATAGATAGATGAAATTGAATATGAGCCTTGTGGTTTTTTCCAGGCCTGAGGGTATCAGGCTGGGGAGAGCTTCACTGATGAAATTTCTGCCTCTTACACCATCATCAAAAAGCCCTTTGCAAAGGCACTTGTTTTGCTGTGCTGCTGTAACTAGGGGAGTACCATGTACAGGAAGCTGATGCAAACATCGAGAGGAATCCAGCAGCTTTCAGTAACAGTGTGGAAGAGGGAAGATCAACCTGTGCAGCCCACCAAACTTCTCTTAGTAAAAGTACGGCATCTTTCCCCTCTTTGTATCTGGTGATGTCACGTAGGGTTCCTTCAGCTGAAGTGAACTCATTTGCCTACCGATGATCGTTTCCCAGGCAAACCCATTTCCCCAATCCTTAGACTCATAGACTCCATAGGGTTGGAAGGCACCCTCCAGGGTCATCTAGTCCAGCCCCCTGCACAATGCAGGGAATTCACAACTACCTCCTCCTCCACACCCACAGTAACCACTGTTCCATGCCCAGAAGATGACCAAAAAAAAAAAAAAAACCCCACAAAAACTCCAGGATGTCCAGCCAAACTGGCCTGGAGAAATATTGGTTCCTGATTCCAAAGAAAGGACCACACGAGAACTAAGCCCTGAGGCAACCCTCCCTGCCCTCCCTCTCATGATCTGCCTAAGTTCACAGAATCCGCATTGCTGTCAGACGGCTATCCAGCCTCTGTTGGAAAACCTCCCCAGAAGGAGAGCCTGCCACCTCCCGAGGAAGCCCGTTCCACCGAGGAACCGCTTTGTCAGGAAGTTCTTCCTAACGTTTAGCTCAAAACTCTGATTTAATTTCAACCCGTTGGCTCTGATCCGACCTCCTGGGGCAACAGAAAACAACTCTGCCCCATCCTCTACATGACAGCCTTTCAAGTACTTGAAGATGGTGATCCTATCCCCTCTCCTCCGACCTTTCTTCCTCGGCACAGAGATTTCCACAAGTCCTACAGTGCAGCCGACAGAATTATACTTACAGGACAAACACACCAAGACAGGCAAGAATCAAAACCCATGTCTCTAGTGAAAAGCTGGGGAAGAAGCCCATTTCCTCCCGTGTCCTTTACGGATCCTTTGGTCTCCTGCGACTGGAGAGACAAGCTGTGCTCTTTCCAGGCAAACCACGTAAAACAGGCAGGCACTGCTACGGGGTGTCTGTTTACAACTCTATGCCTCCTTCTTCTTCCGGCTTCACCCTTGCTGGCCCAGTTCAGCCAAGTGAGTTCTTTCGCAACATCGGAGAGAACCGGGGAGCGGTGGGTGAGCGAGTGGGAGGTGAATCGGCCATAAAAGGCAGAGGAAGCGGAGTGGTTCGGCTTCCCTGGATGAGTCTGAAGAAGAGGGACAGGGAAGAGGAAGAGGAAGGGGATGTGTTTTCAAAGGCCAAGGAAAACACCCTGGGGTTGGGGGGAAGAGAAGGCTCCCTCTGAAAGAAGAGAGGTCTCGGTGGAAAGGTTCGGGAAAACAGAGGCCTTTCCGCACTCCCCTTTTAATCTGTGTTCACCGCCGTGTCATCCGAGCAATTCTGCACTGAAATCAAACTCGGGCTTCTTCTCTCCCCCCCAGATTATTTTAATTATTTCATACAATAGACAAACAGGACAAACATACATCAATACAAGTTTAGGGACTCCTTTTTGTATCGTTATTTAACCTAATTAATGACCTCATAAGGTATCTTAAAGGTGCCAATGGACTGTTTTGGATTGCTATCTATGGGGGGGGTGCACAGATCTGTCCAGGAGGGAAGGAGGGAAGGAGGGAAGGAGGGAAGGAGGGAAGGAAGGAAGGAAGGAAGGAAGAAAGGAGGGAAAGAAAGAGGGAGAGAAGGAAATAAGGAGGG